GCAAATCTCATTCATCAAAATATATACAAATGTTCTCCCTCTCCTCCTTCGGACTTCCCTCAACTCCCCCCCTACTGAGTTATTTGGTTTTGTTTATTGTGTCCTGCTTTGTATCAAAGTAAATTCCCCTATCATTCTCTAAAATGTCTGTTACTATAATAAAGTTGTGAACGTTTATTCAAACCCTGCCTGTGAGTCCAGTCCATTTTATTGTTTCTGCAAATAAACTGTAAATGGTTCCCAAACCCCTTTGAAGTCCTTTTTGTCCTTCTCTCTTAAATTATCTGTTACCTTAGCCAATTCTGCATAGTTCATCAATTTTTCTTGTCGTTGTTCTTTTGATGGTATTTCTTCCATCTTCCAGTATTGTGCAATCAAGATTCTTGCCACTGTTGTAGCCTACATAAATAATGTCCATTTTTCTTTTGGCAGTTCTTGATTTGAGATACCTAGTAGAAAGGCTTCAGGATGTTTACCAAAGTTCGTTTTAAACATTTTTTTCAATTCATTATATATCATTTCCCAATATTTTTAATGCATTTGCATGCCCACCACATATGGTAAAATGTACCTTCCTTTTCTTTACATCTCCAGCGTCTGTTATTTTCTCTCTTAAACATCTTTGCCATTTCCACTGCTGCAATATATGTGTTCTTTTGCTTTCTCATTCTGTGTCCGCAGTTGCCAACTCTTGTGACCTAAGGATGGAGCTATTTGACTCAAGTATGCAGACCTAAGGGTGGGACCACAGAGATCATCTACTTTTGGGTGACCCCAGGGCAGCAGTGTTGCATGAGTTCATGGCACTCAGGGTGGGCACACACACTGGAGGGGTTGTACGCATGTGCCAGGGGGTGGGCAGGAGTGCCAGGTGGGTGCATGTGTGCTGGGGGTGGGGTGAACAGGGTGCCCACCATGGCACCCCAGCCCTAGCCGCCAACACTGCTAGAATAACTCCGCCCTGGAACCAAACAGGACCATGCTGCACCACCTGCCCACCTGAACAGGGGGGGAGCCTGACCAGCCAACACAGCACTTACTAGACCAGTCAACACAGCCAATACTAACACTCCCAGTGCGGTGTGGCCTGGCACCCCTCTCTGTAAGCATTGGTTGATGGTGCCAGGAGAGGAGATCAGGCTGGGCTGCACTGGGGGATGCCTGCTTTTCACCCCTCAAAAATCCGTGCCCAGGGTCCCGACGAGAGAAGAATGGAGACAGAAGTTAATGGACTATGCGGAAATGGCGAAACTTACCAGGAGAATGAGAAATCAAGATATCAATTATTTATTTATTTTAAAGAAAGGAATGGAAATGGTTTCTTGAGTGTTTACAAACAAGCCATAAGCAGATGAAGACATTGGCAGGATTAATGTAAAAACCTGCTGTTTCAAAATATATATGGGATATATGTGGGAACAGATATACAAAATAATATGTTGAGATAATTTGGAGTATGCCGGAAGATGAAAAGAAATGCAAAGAAACCACAGAAAGAGGGGGAAGGGAGTCGGAATTTGAAATGTTAAAACTATGATTGAATAATTGTTGTCATATTAGAAATAAAAATTAATAATAATAATAATAATCTGTGCCTAAGGCACAGCCCAATGCAAAAAATAATTTTTTTAAAAAAGATTCTCCTGATGTGTGTTGAGGGCAGCCCTTCCTCTTGTTTTTCTGGCAGCTAGCCCAATTTGTGCCCCCAAAATGGCCATGTCAGACAAGGGCTTGCTTAGTTGGCCAGCCTTTCTGTGTCCCATCGCTGCCTGTTGTTTTTTTTTTGAGATAACCTTCAACTTGTTGTCTAGATGATGAACTAATTCTCCTCTCTGTTCTTCAGTTTTATATTTATCCTCTATAAAATCATTCTTTAGCACCCTTCCACTCTCCAGCCTTATTCCTGTCATAATTTTCCTTGACCTTTACTGGTGCTGGATGAATGCCATGGTCAGTACTAAAAAGACTGGTGCTGAGCAGAATCTGTCCACATGCATTTCTGGAGAGGGAGCAGAACAAAAGCTTTAGCAATGCTGGACAGCAAATATACGGATATGAGTGTCTTAAAGCAAAGTTAGCTTTTGAGAATGTCCTCCTACAAGGGAATGGATGGAAGCGTTTGGAGCTACCATAACGGGAAGTGCATCATCCCCCATCCTTTTATTATTATTATTATTATTTTTTAGAGCCATTTCTCCGTGACACGTAGACCAACTGCATTATGGTAATGGAAAGGTTTGTTCCTGACTGAGGTCATAAATCACAAGTAAATGCCTGCTTCCTACCATTCTGCCAGCGCTCTCTCTAGAAATAATCTGGCGTTCCAAAGGTTACTAGAGATATCCAAACATTTATGATGCAGAATTAATAACTTCAAGGTCAGAAGAAGAGAGGCCAATTTAGACTCATTCATCATGTCGTCTATATTGATTTCTGGAACTTAAAGGAACTTGAGTCATAATTGCAGAGATAAACAGAAGTTATGGACTTTCCCTTTCACAGATGTAGCTCTTTAAAAAGCCTATATATTGTATATTCTCTCTCTCTCTCTCTCTCTCTCTCTCTCTCTCTCTCTCTCTCTCTCTCTTTCTCTCTCTCTCTGGATTTTTGCAATATTAAAAGTTAATTGACAATGGGTGTAAAATGACAGCATGAGAGCTCGCCTGGGACACTGGTCATTGGACTGTGTCACCACTAGGTATTGCAAGCCACTTCCAGATTGGGGTGAGTAAGTCCTTAGACTCTCAAAGCCCCCCTGTCTGGCCCTCTCCCTGTGTTATACTCCTTTCACAGCCACAGCCCCCTCCCTTGGCCACAACCCTGTTGTAAATAAAGTGGGCTATCTATGTTCAGTTGTCATTCAAGCTAAAAGTTGCTGCAGGGTACAATCACGATGTTAGACAAGGGGTTCGCCCACTTCCGCTCGACTTGTGCCTTGAAAGTACGGATCCACACAGTTTCTACGTAATTCACACTTTCTAGGCATGGGTCTAAGCAGTTTCCCCCTTGCCCTGTTCCTTTCCTAGGAAAAACCTGCTCTTTAACTCTATCTGCAGAAAACGCAATTGTCGTTTTCTCTGATTGAGTGCTAAAGAGCAGCTTTCCCCAGGAGAAAGCAAGAGGACAAGAGGAGTTGTGGGTTAAGCCCTGGGATATGGATCAAAATTAAATCAGAGCAGGATTGATGGAGAGGGATTAGGTTTGGATCGTTTTTGGTTTAGCACAGGGGCGAGCAAAAGGTTGTTTGGGATCTACTCATAGATCACTGGATGATTTGAAGTATATCAGCCAGGGGTTTAACCATTGTTCCCAATCTTTTAACAATTTTAATTATGTTTGGCATATCTGGAAGGCACGGCATAAATGAACATTACGACCTCTCTAATGCTGCTCGTTCCTATTGGTATGACTCTCCTTGTGTACAGTTCTGTGCTCATGAAATTCAATGTCATCAAGACCGTACATCTCATAATTATGTGGATCAGATGCCTTTATGCCATATTCAGTTATCTGAATTACATCAGAAACAGAATATGTGGCCTTCAGATGACTTCTGAGAACTCTTGCAAAGTTCAGATATAGCCACAGGCTAAGATATTTTTTTAAGCAGCATATGCATAAGCTTCCTCAATACTGTAGTTTTTAAACTCTACAATTTCAAAGTCTAAGGCATTAAAATTGGATTTACAGAAAAGAATTAGTGTGTGTGTGTGTGTGTGTGTGTGTGTTTATAGGCATAATGAACTGAATAAATGGCAACACATGAGCCAAGTGGTTAGTCAGAATGTCTCTATGGATATGACTTCTGCCCAAATGTTCAGACAACTCATTTCATTATTTTTTCCATGTAGTATTGTACTGCAAAGCCTTATTTAGAGCAGACAGCAAAAGATAACCCTTATTCCCCTGAAGTTATCGTTCAAAAAATCAATTCAACCCACACCCTAATACCGCTGAATTGACAAGATACAATTACAGAACTGAATAAAGGAAATTACTTAACTCTTGTAGGGATTTTGAGAATGGAAGAGCTACTGAGTGCTTGCCATATGATTCACTTGGGCAAAAAGTTTTTTGTTTTTTGTTTAAAGAACATTTTCTACTGTAGTAATAACACTGGGAAAGGTGCAATGTAAAGGCCAAATCTACTTTAATAAGTCTTTGAAAGATGATCACTCCCAATACAAATTAAAACCCATAATTTCTACGTCCTTGGGCAAGTTTTCTTCAAAGTGATCCCACCCTGAATGACTCTATTTGTTTCACCACTATTTGATTGTCCTCTTCCTCTGGACCCAAATTACATGGAGGGCCTGATGGAGATGAAGTTGGAAGCAAATCCTGTCACTGGTCCCTCACTTAAAAGATGCAAGCGAAACTTAAGCAGCATAGATTTAAAACACAATGCTTTTCCCTGAGGATTCTTGGAACTGCAGTTTACCATTCAAAGAGCTACAGTTCCAGCCCCCTTAACAACAGAAAAGTGCCCAGATCAATGGAAGACAATAACACAATGAAATTCAAAACACTAACAATTTATTGCACGTTGATTCAAAATCCATTAAAAACAATTTAGTTTAAGGAATGCAAGAAAATTGATCAGCCTGATCCAGTGACACCAGAGCCATTTTCAAATAACTCAAGGGCTGTCACATGGAAGATGCAGCCAGTTTTTTTTCTCCTGCTCTAGACGGTAGGACACAAACCAATGGCTTCAGGATACAACAAAGGAGATTCCGACTAAACATTGTTCAACAGAGGAATGGACTCCCCTGGAAGGTGAAGGACTCTCCTTTCTTGCAGGTTTTAAAGTAGGGATTAGATGACTATCTGTCCTGGATGCCATCTTCCTTCCTTCCTTCCTTCCTTCCTTCCTTCCTTCCTTCCTTCCTTCCTTCCTTCCTTCCTTCCTTCTTTCCCTCCATCCTTCTAGTTCTGCCCCATCTCAGTCCATATTTCATGGCTGCTTAAATCATCTGCCCCCCTCCTGATTCTCAGTGAGTGCCTCTTCTTCTGCCAGTCTTTGGCCAGTTGAGATGTCCAAATAGAGCAGCAATTCCTTCAAGGAGGAAAATCACAACTCCTCAATGATGATGTCATCTGGATGGAAAAGAATGAAAAAGAGAGAAAATCTGTTCAGTCCTCTCGGGCTTCTTGTAGCTGGAGTCAGTCTGGGTGCTGCCTTCCCAGGCCAGGTGGAAAAGGCTTGCCAGACAGGGAGCAGGTCCTGCAGGACTCCCAGCAAGAAGACCTGGGAGGTGTGTCTTGGGCAAACAAGGGACAGGGAGTTCACTGTCCCCAAGGTGTGGGGCTTACCTTCTTTCAGATTATTTCTGAAGCACGCCAGCTCCGGCCGAATTACTGTGTTCTGCAGAGGAAAGACAAATATGAGTCCGTTGACACTATGAACCCCACCCTGGATGGGTGTAAGAGAAGCAGCCCCACCCAGGAAGGATGGAAGCAACCAAAGAACTGAATACAGGAAGGCAAAATACTTACTCTGAGGTTCGGGAATCTTCGTGAAAGGGCCAGCAGCAGGGATATACTGCTGGCCGCTAATTTCCTTTGGTCTTCACTCCCCAAAAGGGCGTAATATCGGAGGTCCTGTGGGATGAAAGAAATGGGACAGTCAGTTGGGTAAAGGACAGGGGGGTAACCCTAAAACCACTCCTGATGCTATCAGGATACTTACGGTAAGCAATTGGAGAAGGGTGCCAGTATTCGGAGCTTCTAGGAGGAGACCCCCCAGCAGGCTCTGGAATGGCCTCTTCAGTTCCTGTGGGAAAAGAGAGAAGGGAGGTTGAGTGCTGCTGGGTTAAATTTTGTAAGAGTGTGGGAAGAAGAAAGAGCTGTGCAAAAAGAACTTACAGCAGAGGACATACCACTTTGTCCTCCTCTGCGCTCCCCAGAACTGCCTCTGTTGTTCTATGGAGGATCGCACTGACCACAGAGGGACTGAAGTGGGGTCTCATAAAACTGGAGAGAGAAAGGGAAGGGGTTAGACACTGCCTCCTCCAAGTCTCCCTTGTCCCCTTCTCCCTCCTGCCTGACTTGCCCACCCAAAGCTCCCCCTGGAGTTCTGCCCCCCTGCAGCCCCACCCAGTCCAAAGACCCCAATCACCTCAAAGACCCCACTCACCTCAACTGCAGGAGGGCCTCGAAGGCCAGGGCCAGGCTCAGGGGGCGATCACTGAAGTACTCCAAGTGGCCGAGGATGTTCTAGAAGAGAGCAGAGGAGGAAAGTCAGCTCCTTCCATGAGTCTCCAGAGGACGGCTCCAACCACAAACACCAGCCCCTCTCTGCCCCTCCCTCCCCATGGGGGTCCCTCACACCACCCATCACTCACCAGAATGGCTTGGGCAGTCTCCTCCTTGGAGTACTTCAGGGTTTGGAGCCCCCTGAGCCGAGCTGCCTGGCAGTCCTGGATGATGCCCAGGAGATAAAGCTGATCTTTGTCCAGCAGCTGAAAGGCAAAAGTCAGGCTGTCAGTTCCTTGTGGGGGGAGGGCTCCTCCACATCTGAGAGCGCAGAGTGGAGTGCAAGAGGGGGGCAGGTCCGAGGGATCCCCTCCCTGCTCTCGTTTTATCCAATACTCACCGCAACGGAAGGGATGTGGATTCCCAGCACATCTGCAAAGTGAAGGACATGGGGACAGGTGAGTTCCTCCCTGAGCCCCTTGCAAGGCTTTTCCAAGAGTTTTCTCCTGGATTCCAAGTCCTACTACAGGAGAAGGACACCCCGGGCCTTGGGGGCCAATCCTGACCTCCTGCCCCCAGAACATGGCTCCCCAGGGAAGATGCCCCTCCCACTGACAACTGCCCCCCTGCCTTGCCCCACAGTCCAGCCCCCTGCTTCCTCCAACAGACCCCACAAAATGGGGTGGTTGCTGGGGGTGGGGTTGGGTTTCCAGATGCTGTCGCAGATAGGTGGGTTGGATCCAGCCGTCTGGCTCTGTGCATCTTTGTACTAGATGCGCCCCTACCCCATTCCTGCCCTCCTCCGTCCCCAAAAGGAGGGCCACTTGGTCACCTGACACCTCAGGCTGCTCCAGGACTTCCAAGGGGGCCACCTTCTTGCAGCTGATCAGCCGCCTTAAGCGCCTGAACCTAGAAGAGACGAGCAGAGAGAGCGACTCAGAAGCTGGCAGCCCCAATTTTTGTGTGTGTGTGTGTGTGAGAGAGAGAGAGAGAGGAGGGGCGTCTGGCCCAATTCCTGCCATCTCTCTGCAGTTCTGCGACCTGAAAGGGCATCGCCAGAGCTGGAAAAAGGCAGCCCAGAGCACGAATGGCTGGCAGAGAGAGAAAGGAGGCCCCAAGTGCTATGGGTTCAAGAGCTCCAGCCCAAAGGAAAGACAAGCATTGCCAGCTGTTAAAGGGCTGCTCTGCCTCGTCTTCTTAGGACAGCCCTGCCCTTCCTGGTGAGGGAGGAGACCCCTAGGAGGGTCCTCCAAGCATCAAGCTGCCCCAGAAGAGGAGCCGAACATGAGGAAGGGGGTGGAGTCTTTCTTGGAGCCAGAAAGACCCCCCAGGAAGGGGAAGACGGCCAATGTTGTAGGGCAGCTGGAGAGATGCAAACCCATGGAGCCAGGCAGAGGTGTAGTGGTTGGAGGGATGGACTGGGAGGACCTGGGAGAGCAGGGTTCAAATCTCCACTCAGCCATGAAGCTCCCTGGTGGACCAAAAGAGCTAAAGCTGTGGAGGGGACCCAGGACTCACACCCCAGGAGACCAAGAGAAAGCAAAGGAATGGTACTTACAGCCTGCACATCTTTACGAAAAATCCCCCCTCCTTTCTAAGCTAACTACCTATCTAAAATTCCCACCCAAACTCTGATCCCAAACTCTGATCCCACCCCCACCCCCAGCCCTAACCCCAAAACCATAATCTAACCCCTACCCTAACCCTACACTTACCCCTAACTATTTCTCTATAAACAAAATAAATATATTCAAAAATGCGCACAAATGCACACAAATATGCACAAATGCTCACAAATGCACACAAATATGCAGATATGCACAAATATGCACACAAATGCGCACAAATATGCACAGATATGCACAAATGCACACAAATGCACACAGATATGCACAAATGTGCACAAATATGCAAAAAATATAAAATAAAAGAAATAAAAGAAATAAAAAAGTAAAAAGTAAAAAGTAAAAAGTAAAATAAAAGTGTTAAAATAAAAAAGGTAAAATAAAAATAAAAATAAATAAAATAAAATGAATCAAATAAAAGTAATAAATAAAATAAAAAGAAAAATAGCAAGCAAACCTCTGAGAGGTGATGCTTCTCTGTCAGAACTTGGAGGCACCTTCTGTTCCGCCTGCAGCTGGGCTGCATCTTCTCTTGGCAGATTCATATCGACATTTCACATCCTTGCTGCAGCCCCATTTCCAAAGGGAGACCACCCCTACATCCTTCAAGGCAGGCTAGGGGTCTCCATAGTGCAGGATTGAACCATCTGCTTCGCATGCAGGTCTTCTGTCCTGGGAATGTCCCCCCCCCCATTCGAAACCCTGGATAGCTGCTGCCAGTCAGCGCGGGCTAGTTGAAGAAGGATATTGAGCAGCTGGAAGGTGAGCAGAGGAGGGCGACCAGGATGATGAAGGGTCTGGAAACCAAGCCTGATGAGGAACAGTTGAGGCAGCTGGGTATGTTTAGCCTGGAGAAGAGGAGAGAGGAGAGCCATCTTCCAATATCTGAGGGCTGCAAGAGGGAGCAAGCTTGTTTTCTGCTGCTCCAGAGGGGAGGGCAGGAGAGGAGATTTGGACTAAACATTAGCAAGAACTTTCTGACGGTAAGACTCTCTGGGACGGTGGTGGACTCTCCTTCCTTGGAGGCTTTTAAGCAGAGGCTGGATGCCAATCTGCGAGGGATTCGGCTGCAATCTGGGGAGCACATAGCACGGGCCTACTATACAGGGTTGTTGAAACCACACAGGGCTGCTGAGCATCCGAAAGTGCCTGACAAATGTTGAGCCTTCCATTTCATTGTGGGGAACAGCACGTCAGGAAGCGTCCCTCAACTTCCGTTTCTTCTCTCTCCTGCAGCCAAAGGGGCCGGGCTGGATTACCAAATAGGCAGAGTAGGCACTGGCCTATGGGCCCCACACTATTTAGGGGTCCCACAGCAATGGATCAAAATAATATTATTTGATCTTGAAAGAAAACGACAATCAAGCTTTCTTAGTTCAATGTTATTCCAGTGAGCACATGAGGCCTGCCCCCTGCCCAGATTTTGACTGCCAAGGGGCCTTTTGACTGCCATAGGGTTCAACCCAGCACTGCCCCAGTACACCTGAAGGAGTGTCTCCACCATTCAGCCCCATTCCCACCCACTGAGGTCCAGCTCCGAGGGCCTTCTGGTGGTTCCCTCACTGCTAGAAGTGAGGTTACAGGGAACCAGGCAGATGGCCTTCTCGGTGGTGGCACCTGTTCTGTGGAACACCCTCCTATCAGATGCCAAGGAAATAAACAACTATCTGACTTTTAGAAGACACCTGAAGGCAGAGGCGTAGGAAGAGGGGTTGCCATGGGGGCAGTTCGCCCTGAGTGTCATCACTGAGGGGAGTGACAAAATGGCAAAAATATCTGTTTTAAAATATTTTTTTCCTCAAGGTAAAGGACGCCGTGCCACACCACTCCTGTCTGGGCAGCTGCCTCAACACGAATGAGAGAGACACTGGGGGCGGCGCTGCTGCTGCTGTAGCCGGAGGAGGAGGAGGAAAGAAAAGAAAAGAAAAGAAAAGAAGAGGAGGTAGAAAATAACACTTGTAACTGCAAGTATCTTATTTTTCCTTCTTTTAATAATTTCAATGTGTGTGGGGGGGGGGGTGACAAGAAATTTTCTGCACCAGGTACCACCTGACCTTGCTACCCCACTGGCCGCAACCCCATAGTCGCCTTACCTTTACCTTTTACAACCAGCACTTCAAAGGGCAATTCTATATAATATGCAAGTAAAAAGGCATAGGACACCAGGCAGTCCCAGCTGTGTTCCCTGATATACTCTCCTCCATGTCCTCATCCTAGGACATGAGAAAAACAAATGGTGCTGGTCTTCCCACTACTCTCCAGGGCTCTTTAAGAATTGTTAATGATATCCCTTCCAGGACATTCTTATTACATAAACCTTCCTCTCACTCCAGTTTATTTTTCTCATTATGATATTCAGCTGAGATAAGGCCTCTAAATCCACAATTCAATTTTCATCACAAATTTGAAATGTAGTTCTCATTTAGTCTTAAAACGACTGACTTAAATTCAACCACGTGCTTCCCTTTTTAATCAACCTACCTACTCCATGAATAAGACGGCACTAGCTGTTCCAGTGCTGCGTTTTTCACTGTCAACAGTTCATTATAAGTCCTGGGTTATGAATAGGGAGGTTTGACCAAACACAGGAGTTTGAATCAAATATTTAACTGAACAGAATAAATTCCTTGTGAAAACTTTGCTTTTCTGCCCCAGCTGGGAATTGTGTTATTTCTTATATTGCCCTCTAGTCTCTGGATTTGGAGCTGGTTTAAATTTTCCTTCTGTAGATCTGTTGGCAACTGATCGAGGTTCACAGCACAAATCGCAGAGAAATCAGTAGGAATTTGTTAAACCCGTTGGACGTTGCCTGCCTTTGACTGCAGAAAAAGAGGGGTTGCTAAACTATGTTTCAGGCTAGAACTATTTGCGTGTTGAGTCCCACAGGCCACCCCCCAAAAAACTCACACTTCACACATCAATTTTGTTTAAGGTTTTTGGCATAATTTTGGCCACAACTTTATTCAAATACAAAACGTGAGTGGTTGCTTAGGCATTGGTTAAGACTATCTGTCCTTGCCCTCAGGGACAGTGCTGGTCTTCCGGACTCCGACGGAAGCCAGCGCGGGAAACAAGTATTGGGTGAGAATGAAGCTGGGTGATCAGACTAACACCTCTCACCCTCATGTTCCGGTGGGGTCTTGACCGGCCCAAGTCCGACTCCGGGGACAAGGACGAAAGAATGTCAAGCCCCTGGATTTCCTTTAACGGAATTCCCATTCGCCTCATTTGGAGGGGTAGGCACTTACCCCTCCAAGCACCATTTAACCAATGCCTAACCGCCAACCTTACAAGTTGTGACGATTTGCTACGTAGTAGGCAAAAACCAAATGGCACCAGCCAATCAGCCAAATGGCAAAATTCCTACTAGGCCCCCGCTCAAAGGCGGACGACCCCATGACA